TTTTTTTTACGAGATTTTTTTTATTTTTTTAAATTTAAAAAATCTTTTAAAAACTCACATAAGGTAAATTTTTACTCCTTGCACACCCCTTGCTCCTCCCTCCCGTTTCTACACCCCCACCCGATTTCTTCAGGCTTTAAAATATTATATAGGTTTCTCGGTCAACGTAATTGATTCCAGCGCAGAAGGACTGGAGATCGGATACAACACCACTTAGTAACGCACTACCTTGAGGGGCTCAGTTTACAATGACGATACTTTGATTTTAAAAGTGTATAAACAAAGGTCTAAAAATATTATAGAAACTCAACTGAAATTATCTTGTGTTGGCAACTCTGTTACGTGGCAGATTTTTCGTCTTACAGTCGACAATGGCTTCGAATTTGATCGACATTAAGCGAATGTTTTTGGAGGTGTCGAGAAGAATAAAAAAAGATCGTCCTCAACACAAGCTGAATACGACAAGATAAGGAATTAATTTCCTATGACTACATTCTTGAATAAGTTTCTAATTGTGTTGAGAGAGAGATCCATTAAACTTATTAGATAACATTATCTTCCGTTTCGACTTATATTTTGGCTTTTATTTGATCAAATCTAATTCGTTACTGTTCTTCATAGCAGAACAAAGTCAGTCGAAATCTCTGAAGGAGTGAGCAATTCAACTTACGCTTAACGTTATCGCTTTCTTGCTTCCATTATAAAGAGATTTTGCAAACACCAAGGCAGTGCAATATCAGTATTTTTAATCGATTTCTCAATAGAATCACAACCTTTTTAGTTGATTCCTCAATAAATATACTGTAAATATATAAATAAACGGATCGTCTACTCAAATACGAGTATCCATGAGTAATAGCGCTTATAATTATTTTCTAAATGTATATAATTTATTTTATTATATATATTATTTTATTATATATATATATATATATATATATATAGATAGATAGATAGATAGATAGATAGTGGCAAATTAGTATAATAGTATATATATATATATTAGTATAATATATATATATAGATATATATATATTATATATATATATATATATATATATATATATATATATATATATATATATATAAGAACATTGAAGTCAACACTTAAAGGTGACAGGCTGTTTCATGCTAGGCGCAATTACATATGCTCTATCTCTAATATTGAGCACTTTATCCCATAAATATAACATCTTAAAACCATATTTCTCCATATATATATATATATATATATATATATATATATATATATATATATTCAAGCATGTTTCGTTAAATCATTTAGACATATTTATTTTAATAGATATATATAGATAGATATAAATAGATAAATATTAGTATAATACATTATAAATAGATATTATAAATATTATAAATAAATAAATTACATTATAAATAGATAAATAGATATTATAAATAGATAAATATAAGTATAATACATTATAGATATATAGATAAATATTAGTATAAATATTATAGATATATAAATAAATATTAGTATAATATATATATATATATATATATATATATATATATATATATATATATATATATAGAGAGAGAGAGAGAGAGAGAGAGAGAGATATAATATTAGTGGTAAATTCTATTTTTATTTCCGGAGTTATTTTTTTTCTGTTTTCTTTTTGAATTTGTAGGTCTGATGAATTGGATCGTATTTACGATTCCAATGGAATAAATTATGACCATTGAATATTAGTGTTTAAGCCTTTTTTATATTTATATATATATATATATATATATATATATATATATATATATATATATAGTTTTTCTGACGATCACAAAAAGCGTAAAACCCTGGGTCACAAACTTACATCAACGCAACTAAATATGTTAGCTCTATCACTGATATTGAGCACTTTCCACTAAGTACCACGCATATATAATATATAAATAATATTTATAGGAATTGCATATATATATAGATATAGATATATATACTCATCCACAGACTGAGTGTTTCGCAGCTCTTCAGTATGGCTAGACAGGCGGTAGCTTCAATCCAGGATCGAAACTTAAAATCAGTCAGAGTCTCTTACCCCTAGGCTATCGGCGCACGCCACGGAGAAAGGGTTATTTTTAACGCATTATATACTGCCAGAGTGCTCTATTCATTGCGAAGCCTTATAGCAGCAGCTATACGACAGCTCAATCGATGAACGGGAACGTATACAGTCATCTACAGACAGACTGTTTCGACGTATCACAGTTCTTCAGTGTGACTAGACACGCAGTTGCTTACTATTTACATTGTTCGGACTGTTGTTGTCCTCATCTTTATTGTTTTATTCCTGATGTTTCGGCAGTTGTACGATCCAGCCTTCGTCAGGTTATATATATTGGAAACTGGAATTTCAAAGTGAATAGGTAATATACATTGGAAGTTCGAAATTCATACATACATTATATATATATATATATATATATATATATATACTTTTCATTTGTGTTTTTTTTTTCATTTTCTCTCTTTCTTACTTGTTACCTATCCACTTCATTTTTCCTCTGTACTCCTCTTCCTTGTTTATACACCGTACCCAATTCCTTCACGCTTATATAATATCCTATAGGCTTCTGAGTCAGAAAGCGACATTCATTCAAACGTACCAGAGATAGGATACAACACCACAGAGTAACCCTCTATATCCAAGAGACAATGAAAACTGCATGATGGGTTTAATCTACAATGGGCGCACGACTTCCTATCTTGAGATAAGCTACATTAAGTAAATCAAGCCAAATCAATCTACTCTTAATACATTTTTAATCATTTCGCCCCTAGCAAAGCGATAATGCCACTAAGACGCAAGGGATTACTGGGAGTGAAACATAGTGAGAAGACTTTAGTGAGGAGAAAATACAATAAAAAAATTAGGATTCCGGAAGATGTAAGCCGATTGCCGTTACATTTATATTTTTGAACATTGTAATTGGAAGGGAAGCAAGAAATCGGAAAGGAGTTTCACAGGTGGGAAGTGACAGAAAATTAGAAGTCCTACTAAGCTTCATTGTTGACAATAACAATCTTAACACTATATATAAGATATGCAGATGACACATTGTTGACAGCAGAAAAGAAGCTACAACTGCTACAGAATGTAGGGAAAGAAACCGAGAAAGGACAGTCAAACATAAAATGACAAGAACAGGATGTATGATTGCTAGCAAAAGAGACAGCCCAACATGCAAATTACAAAATGGAGATAGCAAGATCAAATAACAATTTAAATATCTAGGAAGATATATCTTTATCTAGTTTCATCTAGATTACCCGCTACCCGTTGTGTCATTGACGGTTCAGATTATAAAATACTAGCAAGAGAGCCCGGCGTTGCCCGGGGATGTAACAGTAAGAGATCGACCATCATAAAGACTGAAAAATAAAATTGACAAAGATTATTGTTTAAGGTTGACGGACACGCAGATCTTACTTAGCTTTTTTTTTTTTTTTTTTTTTTCTTTTTTACGAATTGTCAAACCCAAACTCAAACAAAAACATTGTTTTCAATCGTTATGAGTCTATCGATTGAATAGAATTTTATTATAAACAATTGTCTTGTAAATGGAATTTTTAAAGCATTCTGAATGTAAAAAATAAAGAAAAAGTGTGCAAGACAATAAGAAACACTACCTGCCAAAAAAAAAAAGTGAAGTTTTGTTGAAATCGGTTGAAAATGTAGGAAATCCGATCCCATATATAAACGAACACACACACACACGCACACACACACACACACACACACACACGCACACACACACACACACTGGGTTTTATAAGTATAACTCGATATGAGTTGTCCCCCTTTTATTCTCGCGACAGCGATTCCTCTTAATCGTGTTTTCAAATTGATTTCGTGTAACTGCGTTTTTCCAATTTTTGGCGCTGTCAGAATCACCGCAATGCAATTTTACGTAGTCCTGTGAAGTTTTGTTGAAATCGGAAATCCGATCCAATATATAAACGAACAGATACACACACACACACACAACCTGGGTTTTATAATAAGTAGGATTAAAGTTGATTTCAACGTTAAAAAATATCTGTTTGAAGAAAGTCGAAATAAAAATAATTGCTGTATAAAAAACTCATATTTTTAAATCTTATTCACTTAAAAGTAGGTACCTCGACAAATTGAGTATACATATGGTTTATAACGAAGCTTTCAGCTCATATTTAAATGAAAGTTTAAGTTACTACAACCGCAGACTCAAGACAAGTTTTTTAATCAAAATTTCGAATGTTTTAAAAAAGAATAAAAATATTAATTAAATAATCAAAACAGACTTTGTTCTTTCCTCTTAATAATAACATAACGATTTTGACGATAAAACTATGTTTTCATTACGTTTGGAGTGTGCTGAACTACAGCATATCCACTATCCCTCCTCTAGTCAATCAATTCGAAGTCCTAACATCCTCAGCTGATAAGGCTGAATGCTTTGCTCGGAAATTCTCGTCCAACTCAACGCACGGCTTATCCACACCTGATTTTCCGCTTCGAACCGAGGCTATAGTGAGTGAGATGTGCATATATCCCTACAAGTTAAACTCTCATGATATTACCTTACATCCCATGATCTGCTCTCTGACAAACAATATGGCTTCCGCTTTTCCCGGTCTACCGCTGATGTGTTTACAGCCGTAACTGAATATGTATACCAAGCTCTTGAAAATAACGGCGAATCTCGAGCTGTTGCTCTATACGAAAAATATCGTTATATATTTGAATTTATCATAAAAAAATATCAATAATATTTAACTTTAATGCTATTGTTTCAATGATATATGCAATTTTTATGAATGTTTTTGAACGATTATTTTATATAATTATGTAAAATGTATATAAAAAAAAATATGCATAAAAATCACCCGTTTTTTAAATATAATAGGCCGTTAAAATTTTATTATTTGTATTTTTTATTTTATCTCATTCTTCAATATAAATTTACTGGGTTTTTTTGTCATTTTTCTAACAATTTTAAGTTGTTATTTTTGGCGGCGTGGGCATGTTAGTATTGAATAAAAAATCTGTTTGTGCTTGGCGGGCCGCATGAAATCGTTTGGCGGGCCGCATGTGGGCCGCGGGCCGTACTTTGCCCACCCATGCTCTAGATATATCGAAGGTGTTTGACAGGGTTTGGCATGCTGGCCTTCTACCTAAGCATTACAGGACGAGTATTTGATTTGATTCGATAATTCCTGTCTAACCGTGAAATGAAGTTTGTCCTGAACGAGTTCTTTTCCAGTTCCTTCCATACGAATGCTGGTGTTCCTCAAGGCTATATCCTTGGTCCTACACTGCTCCTGATCTCCATCAATGATCTTCTTGACGTCATCAGCCCTCAAGTCGGCATCTACGCAGACGACACTATCATTTACTCCTGTCTCAATACTAAATCCGGCATTGCTGACAAAGCTAACCTTGTCGTTGGTCTCGAAAATGACCTCCAATTCTTTGGTTGACTGGGACAAGAAATGGCTTGTGAATTTTAATGCATCCAAAACGAAACCGTTGTCATTTGCTCACCATAGAGAAACTTCCCTGCCTCCTGACCTGAAGTGGAACAACTACATTGAATCAATTGCTGCATCTACTGCAAGGAAAGTTGGTTCTCTGTGTCGCGCGAGGTTTTTTTTCGTCTAAGTCCATCTTCCACTTCTACAAATCTACCATTTGTCCATGCATGGAATACTATTACCATATATGGTCTGGTGCCCTGGCTGTTAATTTCGGGGTTCTCGACATAATCCAAAGACGGATAAGCAATGTGATCAATCTTGACTTGGGGTCTTGGCTCCAGTCACTTTTCTCACCGGCGTAATGTGGCTTCCTTCTGTCTTTTCAATAAATATTTTCATGGCATCTGCTCTGACGAGCTATTTTCACTGGTGCCCCGACTGTATGAATTTAAGCGTGCTACTAGGTTGGCATTTCGGTCCCGCCTTTTTACTGTTGAAACAGCTACATGTGACCGTCTCTTCGACTCCAATAGCTTAATCTCTCACACTTCCCGACTTCTTACTTGTTTCCTTAATCATCAAAAATTTAAATGTAATGTCAATCGACATCTTCTGTTACCTTGATCTCCGTTCCTCTTTTTTACTTCCTCTGTTCTTCTTTTTATCCTTTCCTCACCCCCACCCCGTAATACCCAGTCTTTTCCCTTATTTACACTCTCTCTATCCCCTTGCGTACTAGAGGCACTTCTGCCTTGCTTGGGGTGAATTGCTTTAAAAAATTGTTTTCATCAAGGTACGCTGATTTTTTAGCAATCTCGTGGAGGTACCTACTTGAAATACTTTTTTTTAAATCGGATTGACTTAAAATAATTTTTAGCATGCCAAATTTTTTTTAAAAATCATATTCATTTGAAAATATTTTTTTAAATGTGGCAAAAGAATTTTTTTAAAAATATTGTTTGTTTAAAGAGAGCCGAAATATAAATAAACACGCATGCAATGACAGAGAGGTGAAAAGAGAGAAGTAGAAAGAGAGAGTTTGAAAGAGAGAGTTGGAAAGAGAAGAGTTGGAGAGAGAAAGGTGGAAAGAGAGGGGTGGAAAGAGAAAGTTGAAAAGAGAGAGGTGGAAAGAGAGAGTTGGAGAGAGAGAGAGAGAGTTGGAGAGAGAAAAGTGAAAAGAGAGGGGTGGAAAGAGAGAAGTGGAAAGGAGAAGTGAAAAGAGAGAGGCGGAAAGAGAGACTTGGAAAGAGAACGTTGGAAAGAGAGAGGTGGAAAGAGAGAGAGGTTGAGAGAGAGAGAGAGAGAGAGTTGGAAAAAGAAAGTTGAAAAGAGAGAAGTGGAAAGAGAGAAGTGAAAAGAGGAAGGTGAAAAGAGAGAGGTAGAAAGAGAGAGTTGACAAGAGAGACTTGGAAAGAGAGAGTTGGAGAGAGAAAGGTGGAAAGTGAGGGGTGGAAAGAAAAAGTTGAAAAGAGGGAGGTGGAAAGAGAGAGTTGGAAAGAGAGAACTGTAAAGAGAGAGTTAGAAAGAGAGGAGTGAAAAGAGAGAAGTGGAAAGAGAGAGTTGGAAAGAGAGAGGTGGAATGATGGATGTGGAAAGATAGTAGTAGAAAGAGAGAGTTGGAAAGAGAAAGTTGTAAAGAGAGAGTTGGAAAGAGAGAGGTGGAATGATGGAGGTGTAAAGATAGTAGTGGAAAGAGAGAGTTGGAAAGAGAGAAGTAGAAAGAGAGAGTTGGAAAGAGAAAGTTGAAAAGAGAGAGGCGGAAAGGGAGAAGTGGACAGAGAAAGATAGAAGTGGAAAGAGAGAGGTAGAAAGCGACAGTGGAAAGAGAGAGGTGAAAAGAGAGAAAGTGGAAAGAGAGAGTCGAAAAGAAAGAGGCGGAAGGAGAGAGTCGGAAAGAGAGAAATGGAAAGAAACTTAAATCATTATTATGCGCCGGACGGACACACCACGCGATCACACATGAATCACAGACTTTTAATATTATATAGGTTCACGACGTTTCGGCTGTTATACGATTT